TTTATACAAATTCTACAAATTCTATTCTACCAATTTGTCCAAACTGCTTTATTACAAATTCTACAAATTCTATTCTACCAATTCTTCAACTTTCTATTCTACCAATTCTTCAACTTTCAACTGGTAACAAAATTCTAAAAATTCTACAAATTCTTTAAATTCTTCTAATTCCATAGTTACCAGTTTGTGCCTTAATCAGTTTAATAATCATAAAAAATTATAACATAACAAATAAATAAAAACGGATGTATGTCACAAAATCTTAGTCTTTATCCCTTGGATCTAGAAATTTTTGTTTTTTTGGGTCATTGTAATATTATAATAAAAGAGAAGTACAAATTACAAGCGGCTATCAGCATACACAACACCAACACTAAATTCAGTGGTTAAAGATGCAACCCAAGACACTATGCCGGCGAATTAAAACCGATCTTGCATCTCCACTGTTAACGCATATCAAAAAGGCAACAAGACCCAGTTTGACGAAATGAGACTCCTCCTATGGCAAATAAGTCTATCTCATCATATTAATGTTCTTAGGAATCCAAACCAACAAAATGAAGGAATCCAGAAATGACTGAATTTTCGCACAAAACTCTGACTTGACGACGCCTAGATAAAATCCTTTGAACAAAGAAGATCTCGACCAGATCTATATAGTAGATACAAAAAAGCGAGCCCACTCCAACCCAAACATACTGAATCCCAAACATTCTGAACACATGAACCATATCGGCACATGAACCATAACAGTACACGATCGAAACCAGATAGAACGATAGAAACTCAAGGTCAGAAGGTGCAAGCTCAAGGCTATCTCAAGGCTTGTATGTCCATGATGTTAAAATGTGGCTTGCAACCAAGGACAATCAAAAGAACGAGCTACTATGTTATGTTGATCTGGAAATAGATAGAGATGAGATGATTAAGATAGGGTGGATCGATGTGTACCACACAAGCAGCGTAAAACTTGTGATAAAACACGGTTTCTCTTGGCTATGGAGGTCTGGTCTCAACACAGCAAGGAGAATAGGGGGCAGCGACGCTCAAGCAGCTAGGTTAAATGTGTATCTTTATAGATAATAAGCAAAAATGTGGTCTACAATACTGAATGGAGCTTTATTAATAGCTCGACGGTCTGGCTTTCTAGGGTCTAGAAAAGGAAAACAAGAAATAAGAAATAACACCAAAGAATTCGAAAATACATAAGTGCATAAAGGAAAAACTATTCGAGTTAATGTCTAAAAGATCTATCCAAGAGAAAAGGAAAAGTTAGATAATGAAAATATTGAAAGATTGACAAACTTACCTTTCTTGTTGATGACGAGCTGCTTTCAAGTAGGAAATGAAAGTTTTTATTCTTCTTTGACGAGTTTTTGAAACATTCTCTTTTGCCTAGAGTCTCTGGTCTTGGCCTTCATAAGTGATTAAGAAAACGTGGGTTTGGACTGGGCTTGACAATAAAGGCCAGAACTCTTGTTGTTTCTCATTTGTTTAGTTTTCATGTCCGGCCCACTCTTGGATATGTGTGACTGGTTCCACATGTTATTCTTGAGCTTTAAAGTCATATTTTAATTCTTGTGGACGTGTCTAGTCTAGTTGAGTGGTGGCCTTCCTTATGCTCTGGTTGTACTTGTGTCGGAGTACTCTAGCTCTTTGGCGTGTCATGACACCTTCAAGGGTGATGGGAACTTCAATTTCTTGTATTACGGGTTCGATCAGTTCTGATTCCGTTTGTAGAAGGAAAACCAACTGCTAGACCATAGAACCAAAACTCAATCCCTAGATGTTATTGCTCCTTACTCGAACCAAACAGAACATGAAGACTACTCGACAAATCATAGAGAAGAAAGAAACAAACCCAACAACTCTTCAGTAGAATAAGATCTAGATCAATTTTTTAGGAACTTTGGTTAGTTTGTTAATTTTTTTTGTTTGGTTATTGAACCAGTTAACCTTTTTTTAACCCATCATTTGTCAAGTGGTATTACGCAAGAGTATTTTCCAAAGAAAAATTATCGGTGAAATCTCG